GGGTTGGATGTTGGATGGGGTCGCATGGGTTGCATATTTGGATGGGGCTGGATGGGTTTGGGTGTTGGATGGGGCTTGCATGGGGTCGCATATTTGCAAACCCCCTTGGCTAAGCCAGGGGGGTTTGCAAATATGCAAAATGGCAGCGATTCCAAGGTGCATTACTAGACAACGCCTACGTTGTTTAGCAGTCTTGGAGATAGTTTAGTGTGACCCAAGGCGTCAGTGATGCTAACGCTCCGGGTATGATCAGAAGCGAAGGCCGCAGACCATGGAATGCCACTCCCATACGTACCTGATTTAGTCAGGAGTTTTGAGCGGTCACCCACGTCAAAACGTTCGCCCAAATTCAATGAGCACAGGAGAGCACAGGAGTTCCCACCGTTACTGGCTGATAGTGCATGGTCGGATATTGAGGTCGGAGCAATTTCTGTCGATTCCCAAGCATAGTGGACGTCAAGTGGCTCTCAATCAGTGTTAAGCAAGCTGCGCAAGCTTTGATCACGAATCCTGTTTTTGACTATGTAATATAAGAAGTTGAAAATAATTGCTGGTATCACCAAAATAAGACCTGTAATCGAATAGCCCAAGAATAGCGCCATAACCGAAGCTCACCGATAAATACTTGCGAATATTACGAGAAATGGACAAAATACGAGCACATAATGCTATTTGGCACAGGTAGCATTTCCAACACCGCACTGCCATCTGTCGGTGAGAGTGAAGTACTACAAGTGAGTGCATGGATGGCAATTCCGCATGACTATTTTGACAGCACCTCGGGGCCATACAAAAGTCCCATGATGCAGTCAGACAACGGCTCATTAAGAGACATAGTTACTAAATAAACAAAGATATTGTGTAGAACATTCTGTTCCACTGAAAAGTATACAAATCATTGCAAGTAAGCTTATTTCATCATGCCTGATGCTTGCTTCAATATCTCCAAATGTAGAGCATTCCCTAGAGGCACAGCTTTTGTGACGCGTCAGTCGACTAAATGATAGCAGAATGAGGCTTTAGAACCCTCTAGAAACTTATGTTTCACCTGTCCGTCTCCAAAACACTGTGTCACATGTGTTCTACGAACACCGTAATGGTCAAGTGTCGGCAGATTAATTATCGGTCACTGATAGATTGAATGGTAATGAGAGAGCCGAAACGTCCGCTGGCTCGTGACGGCAAACCGCCCAGCAAGGGGTACCGCTACCAGCTGCGAGAGGCGTGCCGCCCAGCGAGGAGTACCGCTACCAGCTGCGAGAAGCGTGCCGCCCAGCGAGGGGTACCGCTACCAGCTGCGAGAGGCGTGCAGCCCAGTAAGGGGTATCGCTACCAGATGCGAAAGGTGTGCCGCCTAGCAAGGGGTACCGCTGCCAGCTGCGAGAGGCGTGCCGCCCAGCAAGGGGTACCGCTGCCAGCTGGGAGAGGCGTGCTGTGGGTGAGCACCATTAACAACACCCGTGTACGTGACGCAAGCTTGGCGAAGGAAAGGTGATATCCAAAAGGCCGACAGCAGTAGTGCAAGAGTTTCCATAAGCGAAGGGCTGGGAATGCCTTTCGATTCAATGGCAGAGCGTTACAGTTTGAGTGAGGCTAGGAGGCAAGGGAGAGTGTTGTACGTGCGGTAACACACACCGTCTCTCTCGTCTATCTACTCTTCACCTCTACCATGTTTCAACGCAAGTAAGCCCTGTCCAATACCATGGATTTGAAAGCATGGTACTGGGTCCCCTTTTCCCCTGTCCGCCTTCACAGACCTTGCTTTAGTGCAGGGCTGGGTCTGAGTCGACACACCAGAGGCGTCAGAGGATCACTTGACTTAGATCACACTTAGACAAAGACGAAATGACGCGGAAGCATACGACAGCCCCCTGAACCAGCCGTCGCAACCCAGCCTAGCACCTGATCACTCTCCATCCGTGCCGACTGCCACGAAGCGGGTGTGCCGTTGGCGGCTTGTTGGAAGTCCGTCGCGTCCGCCGCCGCTGTATCCACGGGTCGCGCGGCTGGCGACCGCCCTACTTCCGGCGCGCTTCCGGTGCCGCCGGCGGCTCGCCATCAGAGTGGCGTGCGCGAGACGACTGTGGGACGCGCCTCAGCATCACTTATGCATGGTACCTGCCGTCGTCGACGGGCACCGGCGGCGGGCCGACGCATCGATCCAGGGTGTGACGTCACACCCACCTGGTCGGGAGCGACGTCATACCTTCCGGTGGCCGCCAGCCAGCGGGCCTCGTCATTGGCGCAGCGCTGCATGACGTCACCGCCGTCCGTGGCTGCCGTTGGCCAGCATGTGTGACGTCATCGGTGTATGACGTCACACACCTGCCCGCCTTAAAGCGGTGCTGGGTCGGAAGCGACGTCATAGTTGGGTGCGGGTGGTAGTGGGCTGGAGCCTAGTATCGTACATGCGATGCCATAGCGGGCCCGGGTCGGAGCTCCGTCAGCCCTCGCTCGCCCGGACCAACAGTGAGACGTCCAGCCAGGAGCCGGCAGGTACGCCACCGCCGTCGCCGCCGTCGCCGCCGCTGCCGCGGCACGCACGGCGCGCTCTCCAACACAGCTGGCAACAGCTGAGTCGGAGCTGTGGCCATGGCTGAATGTTGCGTCCACACTTGCAGTGTCGCATGATTCTCTGCTTCGCGCTCGGCGTGTAGCGTTTTGCTTACCTTCCATGCTGGAGCTCTGATTTGCTGCTATCAGTTTGTCAACAGCGTCTTACGCTCACTCCCCACGCTTTATGTCGCGCCGTCACATGTTTGCCTCGCTATCCTTTGTTAACGTCTATACGCCCTTGCGTACAGTTTACGTTGTTGGCGCCAAGCCTTTAAGCTATTCTTGTATTATCACGAGACGCTCCGATTTGTCGCTGTCGCATGCCGACGATGTGCAATAAACGCTCACTAGCCTTTGTTGGCGTTTTCGTCGGCTATAAATGCACGCCAGTACGGTCATGTCGTGACGCGGGCACGCGTGCGACCTCAGCGGTGCACAACACGGCAGCGTGGCCCTCTTGGCGGCGAGGAGCCTCGTGGCCGTCACGGCACCGTGTCAGCTGCTCCTCATTCAGCAGCGGTGCTCGTGGCCCGACCGTGGGTGCCGGCACGTGCCGTCGGCCGGCCGTGTCGCCTCACGAGACGGCGTGCCGACCACGTGCGCCGCCTCCGCCGCCCCCCGGCAACGGAAGAGCTCGCTCCTCTGACCATCAGGGGACGTAATCACCTGGAGGCCAGCCTTGTGAGGCCGCCCCCCGGCAACGGACGAGCTCGCTCCTCTGACCATCAGGGGACGTAATCACCTGGAGGCCAGCCTTGTGAGGCCGCCCCCCGGCAACGGGCGAGCTCGCTCCTCTGACCATCAGGGGACGTAATCACCTGGAGGCCAGCCTGTGAGGCCGCCTGTCGGAAAAGCAGTGGACGATCATAGCTCGCTCGCTCAGGTAGAGAGCGTATGCGGCCTGTCGATTGCAGCAGTCGCTACGTATCCGATTAGCTTATGGCAGAACCTGGACATCTTCCTGAATACTACGTAGATAAGTAATTACGTGATGTGAGTGTATGTAACATGGTGAGATGAGCGCAGTCACGTTTTTCCTATTGCAGAAATTGTAAAAAGTATGTGTGTCCTTCGTGTTGGCATTACACCGAGCCATAGACATTTGTAAGGTCCAATCCAATCCTCCAGAGCATTCTAGTTCAAATTATCGTCATCAAACCGATCGAGCCATTTCTGTTTCATAAAGGCTTTATTTGGAGAGACGTAATAGTAGTATTCACGCATAACCTACCTATATAGCCACACTACCACCCAAGGGTCTGTAGACCAAAGACGGTAAGTATAGGCTTCTTATTTTTACTATTTCGGTTGTTTTGCTTTCATTTCAGCTTATGATGTATGTGATAATGACCACAGAAATAGCACTTCAGCGATCATGAGATGACAAATTTGACACGTTTTGACACGTTTTGACCTTTAGCGAACCGCTCTATGACCTGGTGCTCTTACATTCCATTGTTCATGTGTACTGATAAGCGAAATAGGAGAGGCTTACTAAGCATTGTGGAGGTGCTCTGACACAGTTATGTTCGTTTCTTACCAAATGGGCATCATCGGGATGTTCTCGTTATTTGTTTGCATTCAATTATCCGATAAAATATTTAATATCAGCCCCAGATTAAATGCTAAAAATTCTCAACCGCCGGGGTGAGGTCAAACTCCTTTTTCATGATGTACAACTCACGCTCATACAAAAAGGGCATCATATGTGAAGATGTAGATTATTTCCAGTCACCATCTTTCCTCAACCAAACTTGCAGTGGTGCGCACTGGCAGACTTCGACCGCGCGGTGCAGTGTCGCACGTGACAGCCACCTCCCACAGTGGTTGTGAGGGACCATTGGTGGTTGTATCTTCAAACGAAACCCCTACGTGCATAGCTATTAATCGTGACTTGAATTGTGTGAATAATAACTCCCACTCGAGTAATAATTCCCGATGGCTTTTGGGCCAAATTAGTTCCTTACACGTACACCTGAAAAAGGAAGTTTTACGTTCTCTTCCGAGTGATTGCAACATTTTTTTTCATTATCAAAGCGCAACGCAACGCAAACGTTGTTTAACACTGATATTACGTAAATTGTTCAGTGCATTAGCGAGAAACATTCTTCACTTCTGCTTTTGTTTCGATAAAGGCATGTTGCCGAAATGTCAACCAAACTATACCTCTATTCTCCTGATTTTCCGAGGAATAAGGTTAATACTACTGTCTTAACACTGATATCAACTGAATGCTTTGCAAGAGTGACTTAAATGGACCATTCTAAGCGTAGATCGCTACAAAGACCCCCACCTTCCGCCTAAGTAGAGCAATTGTAGTTCAACTCAAGTAGTAGAATTGAGTCTCAAGAGGAGTGATTTAAGACCATTCTAAGTGTAGATTGCCTCAAAGACCCCCACCTTCCGCCTAAGTAGAGCAATTCTAGTTCAACTCAAGTAGAATTGAGTCTAGGACTAGACGCAATCTGAAAGAGCACCACGCGTCCCTTTGAAGGTAAACGTCAGGTCCGTGCTAATCTGATTCCCGGCAAGCCACCTTTCGGCCGCCAAAGGCGGTCAATATGTGAAGCATGCAAGTGCGGTTGCTGGGACACGAACCCACGCGTCTGCCGCACAGTGCCCAAACGAGTACTGCGGTCTTCCAAGGAATCCGCCGGAGCGACTAGCACGCGCCGGAGCGGCGGCTGGTGGGATGTGGTGCGCTCGAGTACGTGAGGTGGGGGTGGGGGGTGGGGGTGGGGGGTGGGGGGCATTTATTTAACCGTCCCTGGAATATTGAAAGAAAGGTAGCGAGAGATACAAACTGCACAGGCTAAGTTAGTAGGATTCAATCTAACGATCAGGATCTAGGATCCATGACCAAAAGCCATGTGGATCGAACTCGAAATCATTGTTGGATGTGCCATGAGGCTGCCTCTCGCATCCAGCTTTCAGCAATGGCAATCACGGATCGCGTGTTAACTGATCCCTTTTCTAGGATACGCAAATGCCGAATACCGTTCCACAACACTACGTTAACACTCAACTACCTTCCCTGGAATGATGGGCCTCGCGGCGGGCGCTAAACAGAGCCGGCGCCTGGCCATCGGCCATTCGCGTGTGGCGCGGCGCCGTGCGGGCGGCACTGGGACCGCCTCTGGAGCCATCGGCTGAGTCACTGAGCCGACCGAGAGCGTTCCGGTCAGCTGGTGAAACTGGGGGATTGCACCGGCTCCAGCTCAGAGGGTCCTCACGCCAGCGTATTTGAGGGGTTTACCGGAGTTTATGAGTTTCTTTGCGGACAAAGAGGTGCCCCGATCAAGCTAAGCCGCACCCACACCGGCGTCTCAGAACCAGGATAGCTACTCCACCCCATCAGTTTATCCGGTGGCTTCAGTGGTTCTCCCCGCAAACCCGGTACGATGCTGTGGGAGTGTAGGTCGAAGAGAGTTCATTTGTCACCCACTACTAAGCTCGTAATTTGATGGCGCGGTAGAGCCAACGTACCATGAATTGGCCGTCCTTGAATTCATGCGCAGTGCATACGCCGCTCAATAGCGCTTACGATCTTTCTGTACGGGGTGCGACAAAAAAGTCTGTCATAAAAAGCAGAAGATGCATTCTAGCGAAACCTTGACAGTACTCTGTGCTGCAACCATGCTCTTCCTTTCAAAACTGATGGACATTCCATCAGACATAGACATTTCATCAAGTTCCAAAATATCGTTCAGTTAGGAAGATCATTCAGGAAACTGCTGATAAGCTGTTATCATATTTCGAGTATATTTCACACCGACCGAGAATTGGGCAGGGAAAGTTTGACGCCCGATCAGAGGTGTGACAGAGCTACTGCAGTTTGGTGGCCGCTCGAAACTTGAGGACCCATTTTGGAACTTATGCATTGTATCCTTGCCCCAATGCGATGAGCCTTTGACAAACAGCTTAAAAATGAATCCAGAATAGTTATACGACAGCCACTAAACATGCATCCTGAACTCTGGTGCGTCTTACGACATAACCGATCCTTAAGGATTTTTGCCACAAGCTCAGACTAGATAGACTCCAAATATATGCAGGACTAACATTCCGGGTGGATATTATGTGCTGGAAAGTATAATATCCCGGACCAGACAGCTAGATCACAGGATGCACTTTTTGGATCTACGTTCACGTCTGATCTGCGAATGATCGCAGTTATAAAGATATTATCTTAGTTTATCACGCCGTGCACGTTCACTCTGCCAGTCCTACCGCAGTGCTCTTCCATTCCAACCAATACAAAACGGGCAAAGTCGGTTTCAAGACCCAACGATTCCATGAACGATTCCTATTTACCGAGACTGAAGCAAGTATGTACCAAGACCTGGCTACTCGCGTCCCCTGCTCAAACCCGCCATCCTCAGGCTGGGCCCGGTCCGCGGGCGCGACCCCAGGTCAGCCAGGCCTCGGTGCCAGGCGCAGCGGCGCTCTGTAGTTCGTTTCGACCTCGCCCAGCCCGATCGATCGACGGCCAGTCAGCTGTTCCCGGCTGGACGGTCAGCTTTAGTGGGTCGCTCCGGCGCCGGTCGGTCACCTTCACTCCGCCACTACACGCGCCGGGCGCCGTGCCGCTGCCGCAGTGGATGACGTCAACCGGCGACGTCACACCATGCTTGACGTCACACGCGACCGGCCGCTCGCCGGGCGGCGCCGACGCTCGGCTAGATTTAGCGCGCTGCGCCGCTCGGTTGGGTCGTTGCTCCACGTGCCGGTGGCGCGGGTCAGGTGGTCGGAACGCGAGCCTCGGCTACGGTGTGACGTCATCACACGACGTCGGTAACGATCTGGGTGTGATGCGCCAGATTGTGTGACGGTACGGTGGCTTTCGAGACGGATACTCATGGACCTCCTGCCAGTTGAAGTGCGGGCATGATACGAGCGTCCACGAACCAGTGTAAAACACGATCTTGACTAGCGTGTGC